GTGTTCTCACAACCAGGCCTTCAGTCGAAACAAGCCGGAATTATTGGTCCTATTAACACAAAGTTTTTGATAAGCTCGAGGATTTAATAAACAACAAGCATGATTTGGAAGAGTAGCGCGGCATCCAGACTGCGCCAAGCCTAGAAAATTACTCTATGAGAGCTTAATGACGCGATTGAAGATATTTTATGTGGAGTTTAGGGTTTCTAAATGATCTGAATGGGAACTACGGGCTTGTAGTTATGAACTTTAGACTCATCGAGTCTATTTATAAAACACGTCTTCCAGAGAAAAACACATACAGTTCAATCCATATTAGTGTAAACAGGCATCTAGATACTCAGTTAATCGGATTCCGAATTCTTCTTCTAGAAGTATCTATACTAATTGACCTGATAATATTTATGCGTTGGGTTTGCGGTCTTCCTAATCAAGCTGACCGGTAACGATGGAGTAGTAGCACCGAGGCCGAGGCCGAGCCCGGTACTCCGGCAGGTCCGGTTAACTAATGGAACTAACCGTGGTAGTTAAGGCCGCTAGACCGCATTTGATCAACAATTTCGAGGAAAGGTTGTGTGTTTACACATTTGGATCTTATTAAGTTAGGTAAGGTTTTGAAATATTGGATGTCCTAACCTAATATGTGCCGTTGCGGTGAGACGCCACAAGCCTCGGCGCGGGAAGAAGCGCTTCCACGTTTGGTCCACGCCCTGTTTCTGTAACGGTTGTTTATGATTTATCTACGAAACACAACATATCTGATGGTAACCTCGGACGATAATCTTATCTACTAGCCAAGATTATCCATACCAAGCGGATACTGCTGGCCAGAGCGTGTTGCGGTGAGAGCCGCAACAGGCTGAACTATTTGAATTTCTATGTTATAGTGGGTGACGTGGTCTAACCTTTGGCTGCAGCATTACGAGACTAGGTATCAAAAAACCGGGCCAATACTAGTCTTGAGCCAAGGAAGACATGCTTAGAGAACGGTTTGGTGGCTGGCTGTTCGTCTCTTTGCATAGGTATCTTGTACGGAATACACAGCTTCGATAGAGTATGTTATTTGAAAGGTTGCCGATGCCGGCAAGCTCCAGATCCAAATCTACTACTAACCTAACCCTCTCCACACTTTGTGATATCTGGCAGCTCGGCAATCTCGCCGTAAAGTCTGGTCAAGTCTGGTATGTTGATCCAATTCGACAATGCGTGCCAATTCTTGCTTGCCTCGCTTTAAATCTAAACTGTAGGCACTTCAAGCGGTGTATCTGCTGGGTCATGCCTAGGCAGCTATATGGCCGACGCGTCGCATGACTTGCAGTTATAATGATGGAGATAATGATGGAGCAGTGATCCTTTCGGTAAATTTATGGCACCTCCAAGTGAGGCCGAATATGAAGCGGTGAAATTTTTTGGCCGCATAACTTAGGCGCTCACTATGTATCCAACTTATTAGATCCCAGCCCTCTGATTTTCCGTCAAGGGCTAGTCTTGATCACAAGGGATAATTGTCCGTGGGTTATAGAAATCTGGTCTACATTCATTGTTAGTGTGCCCTAACGATACGCTCAACGAGAGTATCGGGAGCCATTTTTTGGTCTAGAATCTAAGGAGCGCATAGTTAGGTGCGTTCGAGTTCAGCTAGCCAATAATGCAAGAATAAAACGGTATTGACTTGAATATGGAGACTGTGACAGTGAGCTATTAGCCCGACCCAGTCCGCACAATTAGAAATGGAGTAATTTTACCATGGGAATCCAGACAAATTAGTATCTCGCGTGACCTTAAAGCTAGCCTTTACTGCATGTTGACGACGGCTTTAGCGGTCTTTGATATTTTATTAGAAGAGGGGAAGTTCAGGGGACTAAGTTTATTCAGCCCTATGCTTAGAATCCATAACGTATGGGGATAATTCTTCTAGAATTGTTCCAGCCTGGAGGGCTAAATTTAGAGGGAACTATTAGGCCTTTATTCGTAAGAAGTAAATGGTGTTGCCAGACAATTTTTTTTCTTTCTTTTTCTTTTTCTTTTCTTTCGCTTGGTAGATCCATTTAGTACTGGGTAGTAGAGATTGATGCATAGTGGAAGCGGAAGAGACGTTCTACATATCTTGGCGTTTCGTGACGATCGGGGAAGAAAAATAATATGGTGTCCAAAGGATCAGCAAAATCTCAAAACAGTAAACCCCCATGAAAGCCTGCACTCACACGGTCTTCTAGCAAGCGGGGTTATTGATGATAGTTATTATGTTTAGGTAAAACAATGGTCACGAGAAATTACATAGTCTTGATGTGGGCGAGGGCGGAACTGGTAGAAGAACTTCCCGAGCTTTAATGAACCAATGAATACCCCTTAGAGATCGGGCGCGGTCGTGGGGAAGAGGAGGGGTTCTCCATCAAATAGGGAAAGTCGTATTTGGCACTACCACCAGGGTCCTTAGAGGACCCTTTAGAAGACCCTTTAGAAGACCCTTTAGACATTGGTACCTGGTAAATAAATTAATGGGCAATCTAATTTGGGCAGGGAGCAAACACTTCCGGAATACTAAAGGGGACCCTGATTTGATATAAGCACTTAGGTAGTTTAGTAGTAGGTAGATGAGGAAGCTATCAGCAAGACAGTGCGTCAACGGGCGGGAGGTCCGGTAAAGGAGAAACACCCTAAGCGATGGACTCCATGAGGGAATAAACGTGTGGGGTTAGGAGCTGGGTAAGAAGCTGAACGCATGTCAACTATTCTGCAAGTAAGAGTTGCTGTTGGGAAAGCTCTGATTGGAGGATTGACGTTGTTTCGCATCTTGGGGGGTTTTATTCGAAGCTCCCGCGGGCCGTTCCCTTGTAGGCTGATAAATTGTTCATTGGCACGTTGGAGTAGTTGGTAGGTTGACGATAATCGGCCGCGCTGGCGGAGGACGATTGGACAAGATTGGCAAAGCAATATTTGAAGGCCAACCTCATATCTGATGTACTTAAGGTATTCAAGGTAAAATATCGAGTGCAGCCTATGTAGGGTTGGGCACTTATCTTGCTAGGTGATCGGACTTTCACCTGGCTGGCTGAGGGTTGCCATTGTCCACTAGATGACGGCATAGTATATTAGGTAGCAGCCCCTCGGTAGTAGAGTAGGTCCATAGCAAAAGTCGATGTGATAGAAATTGAATTGTGATATCCATATATTTGATAGCTACTTATTCGTATGCAGTAGTTCCATACCTATGTATGTACATGTATTATGCATACTATGCATACATAAAGGAGGTGGGTGATCTACGTGTGCCACTCGACATGTCGAAAAGTAATAAGAGGCAACAGAGACAAATATTTGAGGAATATCAGATAGGAAAAGGATCTGAAGAGGATTGACGAGATTGGAATTGGGAATTGAGTGAGAGAAGATGAGAATAGAAATTTGGTTGGACGAGGAGAGTGGATAGTGGATAAAAATTATTAACTAGGCTTAATCTAGGTGGTTGTGTGGAGAAGAAGAAAGGACGTGGCAGACGTTGAAAAGAGCCCTGGAGGTCTTATGGCCCCGCTGTCTCCACTGTGCCTGGCAGTGGACAGCCCTGGCGGGACTGGCAGATCCGCTCCGACAGGCCGTCCGTGTTCCGTGTGCTCATTGGAGATTGCCCCTCTGGAAGTGCCACCGGGTACCTATTACCAAGTACCTATTCAGCCATTTAGCGTAAAAAAAGGGTTCTAAAGCAGGAACATCATAACATGTACGTACCTCGTGTGCCTCGTGTGTAGCTGTGTACCTAATGTAGCTGTGTAGCGGAAGGAGACAAGCATACTCCCATTCAACTTTAACCCCTGTAAGACCCGTATTAAATTAGTTCATCTTCCAAATCCCTCCATCATCGACGTACTACAATTATTATCTACCCGGTACCTACCTCCCATCTCTTTGCGCCCCATCTTGCTTTCACCTTTTAACAATAACTCTCTCCCACAAACCCACACAGCCAGTCCTAACTAAGCAAATGCAAATACCTATCACATGAGCAAGTCCGAGAAGCAAACAATCAAAAGAAATCCACATATATTCAGATCTTCGTCTTGTGAAATATGAAATAGATGCTGGCCGAATCTTTCATATATCGCAATCAGGGAAATTTATTGTACACGTAGACTGGGCAGAACTGGGCTTACCTCGGCATATTATCCCACCAGCTTGCTTAAACGTGCCATCTATAACGACCTATCGCGGCCTTATCGAAACGATCTCGAAACCACGAATCAGAGTTTAGATTTCCGTTACTGCATCGGCTCCTGCAGCATATAGACGAGCATAGACGAGTATAGACGATCAAGACTTGAGCTTAAGCAGCTGCCAGGTGGTCTCACATCACAGGTCCCCAATTAAAGCATACTTTCCCTTCCCCTCGGGTTGGCTCAATTGAGGGTTTCGTACCCCTTGCCGATCAAGTTACCGTTGTTGTCGAATGAGGAGCTCGATGCTGGTTTATTTCCTAGATTACAACTACGAACGATCTCCCTGCCGAGTTTCTGGAAATCTTGTCACGACTTAGGGAAACCTAGATTTCGATATCGTAATCAACCGGGCCAATATTTTGCGATACGCATTAATATCTACCTCAACGATATTTCCCTACTTCCTTCATCTACGGCTTACTTGAAACTGTCTTAATCATGCTCACTATGACAAGATTACCGTCTGACTCCTTCCCGCCGTCGAGCGCTATGCTCGATCCAAATCCACGTCCCATGTCCTTCGCCTCCCATCTTAACGGACACTCTTCAGCATCAGTAATTTCTCCGCTATCTCTACCGCGCGCTTTAAATAATCTATCTTACTTGGACGAGTCAACCCTTGCAAAGTTACCGCCTCCTGATCATACACATTCGCCAACAATTCCCGTAATTGCGCAGTCTCAACAGCAGTATCTTTCTCCACGTCCAAGTTCCCCGAACGGCCATCGAATTGGGTCTGCTGCAACATCTCCGTCTTTGGTACCTAGCGCCACCTCCTCACTAGGCAATATGAGCAGTCAAACTCTACTCAACCTGCTACAGCGCAGGGAAGAGCAGAATAGAAAATTGATTGAGAATTGGCGTGCCGAGCGTGCCCATCTGGAGGCTAGTCGCACCCGAGCCGAGGAAATGTATCAGGAAGAACGGGCGATAATTGACGAGGAACGAATGATATGGATTGAAGAGAAAAGTAACCTCCAGAGAGATTTGTCTGAATGGAAAAAAAGGACAGAAGTAGCTGAAAAGCAGAGGGACGAGATGGTGATCCTGCTTAGGAGCATCCAGACTCAAGGCACTCAATCAAAGATATCGTTTGATGGTGCTGCTGAGTCTACTATGGGCTCTCTCAGAGGCGGTGGTCTTAGCAGCGCCGAGACCCATTCACAGTCAAGTGTCAATTTTTGGAGCCCATCAGACGGCACATCTCCTAAAAGAGTTTTGCCCGGTGAGCTTCACATCAGCGAATTTCACGGATCGACGACGATGCCAGAGTCGAGACCTTTTATTCCCTTGGATCCACGTATGCAGGGCTCGTCACCAGGAGTGAGCTCGCCAGTGCCCCAGCAAGATCGTGTTCCCTCTATCGATATACAGGAGGTCATTCCTGGACTGGAAGGAATCCGAGTTAGGCCGGATATCGTCCAGAAGGCGACATTTACCGATGATAAGCCAGCCGAATTATCTCCCGAGTCAACCTTACTCCCTGTCCCTGGAGCTAAGCAGGAATCAATTCGTACACGTGTTGTACCAGCTGATTTGACAAAAGAGACGCTCCAGGCTCCCGAGTCCGATAGACTTACCATGCATGCCGGGCACACACCGAACCACTCTATCTCCTTATCTAGGCTCCATACCGTTGAGTCTACTGAGGTAGTTAACACAGCTGACAGTTCTGGCTCATCAACCCCCAAGTGCTGTGCTGCGAAGGATAAGCAGGTTCAAGTGCCCGAGAAAGTCGCGGACTGTCAGACATCGTGTTGCGGCCTTAAATGCCCTAAAGCCGCCGAGGCTCAGGACGAACTCGAGGATGAAAGAGACAAGGATCCGGAATTAAAGGGGCCATTGACCCTTCGCAACCTTCCAGCCGCTGATGAACCATTTCTCAAGGCTCTTAATGACAAGCTTGCCGATGTTATCACTCACGATATGACTCCTACTGTCCTTAAGCATGGGAATTATTTTAGGCCAGCTGCATCTGAGCCAATTATCGAGACCGGTGATGATGGTGCACACGATGCTCGTGAAGAATTAGAAGAGAAGGAGCAAGAAATTCCGCTAAAGTTAAAGCAATCGAGTAACTTTGGCGCTCCTCTTGGGCAGCTTCGAAAGCCAGCATTGTAGTAGATGCGTTCCGGTAGTTATTGTTACTAACGTGATGAGCGATCTCGTCTATAATACGTTATTCGCACACAATACCGTCACTTTCTTTGTTATTTTTACTCGACGGAGAGATTTTTGCACAGACAGTGGAGGCTGTTTGTCTAGTTTTGAGCATACCCACAACGAGCTCTATAAATTTCCTTTTTCCTATGACCTTTGAAATACCCCAATACCCATGATTCTTTTTTCCCTTTTCTCTTCTGCGCATGGGAACTTATGGGTCGGCTTATGTTATGGTTGAAAGGCGACGAAATTGGCATTGAAAAGGTTGCATGAAGGGACGGGATTCTCCCTGAATTCTACGGATCAGCGTTTTTTGACTTGTGTGTTGGTGTGGTTTCTCTGCTTCAGGAAGCATATAGAAATATGGTGATCGGTCGGGTTTGATTGGCATTTGGGCTGAGAAGATAAAACCGTGGCAGACTGGATGTTGCACGTTGCACATTGCACTTTAGACCTTTTATACCTTGGGCGGGGACCCCCTTGTCTTCAGCAAGAGAGGCGAAGAGAAATGATGAAGAAAGTAAGCACTTTAATGAAATAGGTCTGTTTATGAGCAGAGGCAAGATTATACGTTTTAGGACCGGGCAACTGGTTTATTGAGTCTAATACAATGTTAGCATTTTCTCGTATATCTATCTATCATGTATCTTCACTCCGTGCTTGAAAGCTACTAAGGACGATGTTCGTGTGACATTTCTATGCTAAACTGAACATTGGCCCGTATTGGCCGTCTCCTGTAGGTACCCTCAAATGCTAGCCCGCGATATGTAGTACAATCTAGAGGGGCTACATGATCGGTATCGTATAAGATTGACCGAATGAAATATATCAAGTGGCGAGTGATGCCAGGGACAGAATAAGACTAGCTTCGCGCAATATACTACGAAGATCCCCTTGACGACTTGATTTCCAGCCGATGTATTAGAATACTATATGAATTACGTGCTGAAGTATGTAGGTATACAAAACTATCCGTCTATCATGATGAGCATTAATAACTACCTACATATTTTAGCTTTGCTTCCTTGCTTTCGAGCGCGTCCTGAAATTCTAAAGCGTTCGCCACACCGTCAAACGCCAAACATGCCACCCCGCACCCGGGAACAAATTTCATTTTTACCGTAACATTCATTTCCTCTTGTAATCTCATGCCCCTCCTTTTGTACCATACATTAGGAGTGTCATTACTGTCATTACAATTGTATTTGAATGCATGTATAGGTAGGTACCAAGGTAAATAGGTAGGTGGTAGGTAGCTTTGTTTAGCTCAACTTCTTGCCCATAAACCCGGCCAGCTCGTCCAGCAACTCGACGGTCTCGGCGGGACTTGCGATCCAGGCGGTGGTGGAGACGCTACGGGCCTTAAAGTCATTACTGCCGGCGCTGAGGAACTGATCGCCGACGTGCAGCGTCTGCTCGGGGCGGATGCGTGTACGCGCGCCGTCGCCCCCGAACCACTGCTGACACACGGATACACCCCAGCTCTTATCGCCGATGTCGACGAAGACGTCTCGCCCACCATTGAACGCGCAGAACGGCACTACTTTGTTGTCGAAGTCGCGCCCGCCTACGCTGAGCTCTAGGATCTTTTGGACTACTAGGACAGTTTCTTCGAGAGATTCACGTGGGATACGCACTGTGGGTGAGCTGGGGATTATGCCGACGGCGCGGTCTTTGCGCATTAGAGTCGCGGGCAGGTTTAGGTTCTTGATGCTATCGCGCAGGGCAGCTTCGGCTACGTCTAGGAGAGCTGTGATGCCTGCGTCAGACCAAGATGCCATTTCTGCTGTCAGCCAGCGCTCCCGGGGCACGGGGGATAGCAGATGAGGCGACGTGGGGCTGAATTCGAAGAGGTAGTTTGCCTCGCCGCCCATGATGACGATGTTTTGCCTCTGCTGCGGCGTTAAGACTGTGGAACTAGCAATAGCATCTAGGAGCCCGTGCAGACGGGCATAGTACTGTTCGGCCATGGTATAGCCCGCAGCCGTGACGATGCCGATCTTGACGTTCTTGCGCATGAGGTCGATCATGCGCGGGATCACCGGGCTAGTGGGTTCCAAGCTCTCGCCATCATCATAGAGTGTGACGTCTCCGTCGAAAGTGGCGAGCTGGAGGGTGCTCTGTGTAGTCACGGCCATGAGCTGGGCCGTATTGAGGACGAGGCGCACATCGTTAAAGGAGGGGGAGACGAAGCGGCGAGATGAAATATATCGCTTGCGGTCCTGGAACTTGAAGGCGGCCTCTAGAGGTAACCGGGTAAAGAAGTTGCCTATAGTCGGGACGAGGAGCTTGAGCTTAGACGGGACCCTGCTCGCATTTAATTGGTGCGTTACTGAACAATATACGTCAATGACTGGATTGGAGTTTGGTTCCGGGGCGGGGAAGGCGAGCGTGAGTGGACGTACTGTGATCATCAATCATCACCTCGACGTCCCTCATGATCTCGGCATAACGCCTGTGCGCCTCTTCGGACATATGTGTCACGTTGAACCCATTGGCTTCAAAAACACCCGTAGGCTGGGAGTATAATACGAAGGGAACCGCCAATAGCCCTTTGATCCATTCTAAACATATGTAAGTTAGTTATCATGAAGTGAACGAGATGCTGATTGGAGATATGTTTGGGTAGGTTTTGTGAGAGTAAGTTCATCGCTGGCATGTTGGTGTGGTCTTGGGGATATCCGATATCCGGAAACCCACTTCTAACGATGATCATAAAATTAGGTAGTGATAGGGAAGGATATGTGAGAACCACATTGCTAGGTTATAATACCTATAAACTGATCTCGTCTGTGCGTCTTCAACGCATCTATAGAAGCGTCCGTATTAGTTATTGATCTGGTGCTTATAGCGGAGGAGAGAGTCTGTGAAACTTGAACTCACACTCGACCCTGTATCTTGAAGTCATTATGCCTAAATTTACAATTGACTTCTGCTATGAAGATGGTTGAATGATTGTTAGTAAAGAAGGCTAAAAGAATAGCGACGAGAATGAGTAGGTAATTATGGAAAGGGATGAAGTAAAATAAAACGGTGTAAGTAAAGGGGTACATACGTAGAATCATTGATCACGAGGTTCCGATTGACTGGAGTGCCGGCATGCGTTTGTGGGGCGCCGATGCAGCGGGACATCCAACCCACTGGGAAAGGCTGGCTGGAAGGGCTGGGCTGGAAGGACTAGTGAGCCACAGTGATACAGGCGCTAAGAACTCATCAGTCATAGCGTCATTTTGGTGACCGATTAGTGCATGAAGTCTGGGCCATTTGAGGCTGGTACTTAAGGGTATCGAATGTCCCAAGCATTAAAGATTAAAGTTTCTACTTTCAATGGTTCAATCTTGATGAAAACAACATCATCAGAAGTAAATCGGATTGGTATGTTTATAACATTAAACTGTTGGAACAGAAGATAATTATACGACTTCTAAAGAACGAGATGTGGAATTGATTGTTTCATTTCAACAAACTATCTCAGACAGACATAAAACATGCCGATAAAACCTTCACATGTCTATTCAAAAGCATTGAACATGCCATAGGATAGGTACATGTTTCGAAAAGAAGTCCCTCCTCTGGTTTGGACCAATCCGATTTTCTTACAATTTCAACGCATTTTAACCTGTAACCTCTCCTACACCCCGCCGGGCATTTCCTATATCATTAGTCTAAGGCGCCGGAGTCTGAGTAGCACAGGCAGCCGTGACTGTCCTTAGCCGAGTCATGCAACCTTCAGGACAAGCAGTCTGGCAGCCGTCCACAAAGAGAGCGGTCTTAACTCCAGCGCAGCCGCATGGGATGAGCAGCTCTTTCTGGAACGTGCAGCCGGGTACTGGGCACAACATCGGATCACAGTTGCTGGGTCTGGTAGTGTGTGTTACCGTCGGGCAAACAGCGGGAGCAGTCGTGGTAGGCTGGTTAGGGAGTGTGGTGATGGTGATGATGAATGATGTTGTAGTCGAAGAGCTTAGGGAGCTGATAGTTGGCGTGGGCGAGTATGGTGGGCGATGAGTTTCAGGAACCACAACCTTGGGGTTGACAATGGCCTCTGCCGGAGCAGCGCTGACAATACTGACGACACTACTCTCGTTATTATGACGAAGCTTAAGGTCAAGCGTTGATGGGAAACTAGTTGGTGTCTTACCTGGCTAGCGCCGCCACAAAACCGATGAGTACCTTCATTTTCGATTTTTTTTACTATTTCTTCTATCAGTCAACGTGGTTGAGCTTGTCATAATGCAAGATATTACTAACAATATTCAATATAGTTGTACTGAATCTTATTGTTGGCTTTCGTTGATGGAGAATAAACTAACGATGGATAGATTTATATGATAAACTAAGTCGTGGACAAGCTGTCTCTTATATACGCGCATCTTTGACGTATCGCTATACTCCACCCAGATCGATTTAAATAGCATTAGGCCTGCATGACTCGGGACCTCACGACTGTCACCCGTTCAAGCAGTCACTCCGGGTGAGATACCATTTTTCGCGTTCTTTCCATCCTTCCGGAACGTGTCGTATTCTCTTACTGCGCTAGTGACTGCAGACGACAAGACGACGGTTTCCGAGGTGCAGTGTCGGGCATCGGTTTCACGGTACGGTTATATTACAGAGTAACCCAGGTCTTCACGTTGTAAAGGTGCCGAGTTATTTTTGGCATAACCTTACTTTATATTAAAGCCTAGGTCCGGAGCTCTACCCATGTTACAACATACTTGAGGGCTGTCAAGAGTTCTGATCGCACCGCGAACACCGGAGAACGATATGGGTCCGAAGAGTCAGGCATCGGAACATCGATACTAAATAGAGCCTCGCTCAAAACTTGAATTTATAAAGGAAGTATGAGACTCATAGAATTCAAAACTATGTAGTTTCAGTGGTATGATTATGATATTTTTGTCTACTAGTCCCTCGTGTCACAAGCACCATTCTGCGTATCGCGGGAAGACCGAAGAAAATCGGACATTCTGATATCAAACCCTCCGCGAGCAATGCGAAAATCGAGAGAAAAACCACCTTCCTCTTCAAGTCTCTTCCGAGGAGCATATTTCGATCAAGGGCTGCTGGATATAGTTGGACTTCTCGATTATCGGCGAATCGACGGCATCTGTTTCTCCTGAAATTACGAGTTCTAGGCTTGGGGTTCTTAGGGTGCGCATATTGCTATGAACGAAGTGCGGTACGATGCCGTCAGCGAACCCGACAACCCAGGGACATTCTAATCTGTGATTTGAATGGTCTAGCCAGGTTATTTGCCTTATTATTGGCAGCAATTGTCTAAGCCGGTCTTCGATAGCCCCACAAAAACTGACGAGGCCATTCAGCCTCTTTAGCCTGGATTACGGGACAATATCCGATGGCAGAAGACTTCATATAACTTCATCTCGCAGTCCCAAAATTCGCCCATTTGGGCTACGTACTCGACATGTCAATATATCTTTGATGAAGACGAGGGCCTCGTAATGAGGTCCCGCATGATCCGTCTCGCGAAAGCTGCAAGATAACGACACGGCCAAGGCCGCTTCTTGACATTAAGTGCTACATGTCATGAGTACGATCTAGCCTGCAGTTTACGCGGATCTAGCGAGTTTCCCTTGGAGATTAAGGAGTCGAATGATTTTCGTCTGATTGCTCTGGCGTTTGATCCAAACTCTTGGACTGTCTCGCCCGGTGAGTGCGGGTTTTGCCTGTTTACTGACGATCTTTTTGTCTAGGCCGCTTATCTAAGAGAACCGGTATCCTGGTCTCACAGATCTCAGAGGGCGATCACCTCGTTGCTCGCCAAAGGTACGGTGCAGCTTTGCTATGTATCTACGACTCGACCAAATAGCGAGTAGGATGACTGCTTAAGATTTTCCTGGGGATTTTGGGTAGACGCATGGCTGTTATTCCGGCGATAAGAGGTCGTCTCGGCCTCTTCGATAAATAGCCGGCCCCTGCTGGTTTCTCCGTCCCCTAATTCTAGGCTACCTAAATAAAACTATTCTTTACTTTTCACGAAACCACATATTCAACGTTTGCTGAACTTATCTGCATTTCTGATTAGTCCTCTCTGAATCTAATCGTCAGGTCTATTCGGATCATTCGGCGATTTATATCTGATAGCTTGATTCGCATGCATTAGGTATTCGGCACACTTCGTAGTCTAAGTATTACTAGTATTTCATTAAATAGATAGACTATATATCGTTCTTACAAGCCTAGGTATACTCGTAAGGCTGCTTACTTAGGCAAGTAAAATTGTTAAATGGAGCGAGAAGTATTATGCTTCTTGACGAATTTATTTCTCTAAACCAATTCCGGTATGCTACAAGAAGAAAGCCCTCGAGGCTCTTAGTCAAACTGAGCATATTTGGGAATAATATCGCCTATCAGGTATAAGTACCATAGAGATAGATAGAAATGAATAAGGATTTAGAAAAGTAAACTCAAGATAATTGTATTATGGTTCTAAGTGCACATGGATTCGATGCCCACTTAGTACCGAAAATTATTCGTCAAGTGATGTAATATAATATGCAACGCGGTTCGATTGATTTTCTATATTAATAGCGTACATTGAAGTCGCAATGGTATATAGACCTAATTAGTACCCAAGGTACCACTGTTATTACGAATTTGCAAATGCAACGCAATCTCGCGTATATACGAGCATGATTCCATTATAAAGCTCCTAGACGTTCGACTTCAAGGGATGCAAGAATGTAGGCCGCGGATCCTAGCACGCTGTTGTAGTTGATGGGCTGCCCGATATAATACTATAAAAACGTTAGTTTCTCGCATCATAGTAGAGTCACAGATAGACACCACTAACCTCGTAAGTTGCCGTCGAGTTCAAGCTGCATACTGATACTGTTCCGTTATACCCAAGCGTGCCGTTCGTCTCCTGAACCACAAACGCGTCTGTTAGATATCCGTGTCCACGAATAGCAGTAGCTACCGCCGTCGATGACAGAGTGATATTAGAGGCGAAGTATCCTAGTCGCGTACCCTTGAGTAGCGCATACGCGAACATGGCGCTGCCGCTAGACTCGATGTAGTTGCCCTCGCGTCCCGGCTCGTCGAGGATCTGCCACCATCCACCAGTCGCTGGATCGACCGCACTCACAATCGCACTAGCAAGTAAGTTGAATTTCTCGAGTATGAGATCCCGGTACTCGCGCGCAGACTCCGGCAGCACTTCTAGCGTATCCACCAACGCCATCGCGTACCATCCCAAACTCCGGCCCCAGACGTGCGGGCTCGCACCCGTGTTGGGGTCCGCCCACACGGCCGTGCGCGAGGCATCATAACCGTGGGCTAGGAGTCCCGTCGAGTCGTTACGGGTGTGGTTCCAGAGCAGGTCTAGCTGGACGTACGTGTCGTCAACGGCGGCAAGCGTCGCGTTCTTCCACTCGGGGCACGGGTTTGCGGTCTCGGTCGCTACGTAGTAACTCACGTAGAAAGGCGCGAGCGAGTACATGCCGTCGAGGTAGCTCCACTGGGGATACGTGAAGTACCAGAGCCCGCCCTCAAGGTTGCGGCGGTTATACTCGATGCTCTTGCGCAGGGCGTCGGCGGCGGTGCCGAAGGAGCCTGGTCCCGCTGTTAGGTTAGTTGTCGGGGTTCCTAGGGTTAGGAAGGCATGTCCGTTGGAGAGCCGGTCCAGAGGGTACGATAGGGCGTCGTGGGTGGCGTTTTGGACGAATGGGGATACGGACGAGGCGCTGGATAAGATGTACGCTTGCACGTCGGCGGTGAAGGCGTCGTTGGGATATTGCGCTGCGAGCGCGGTGAAGGCTCGTTGCGTGATGCCGGCTTGTAGTAGCTCGGAAGAGCCGCCTTTGCCGGTCATGATACCCTGGCTGCGGGACATGATGCTGGATGCCATCCATGTCGAGTTCTTGCTCTGAGCTGCCTCTGTAACTTCTCCCGCTGCGGCGTTGATAGATAAGGCGAGGGCGAGCGTCGCCGCGGTAAAGCGAGATTGTGTTAACACTCGCATCGTGATCCGTCTAAACTTCTTCCTTCTAATATTATTTTCTCGAGATCCTCCAAGTGCCGTATTCTCATTCTTAGGCGACCGCAACACAGACCTCGGGAACGTTCAACCGGGCCAAACGAGTGTGTGTGTGTGTGTGTGTGTATGTGTGACGGAAGTAGGCGAGAAAAAGAAATGAGGTGGAGGAGGAAAGAATTTCGTCTCAACTCTTTGTATTAGGAAGTAGAGGTGAGGCAGTTTTTAACAAAGGATGCAATTACCTAAAAATGGATTTGATTGCTCCCTGCCGGAACGGCGACCCGGTGCTTGGGAAATTAGCGAGCGGTGACGGGTACCGAGTCCACGGATTTGAAGGTTTGCGGGATGCAAGGACGGCAAGGATCTGTACGAAAATATCCCGCCTTGATACATGCTTTGGTTAATGCTGTAGTATTCATTTGAGTACTTAAAATACCGAATATCATTTGCTATCTACAATTCCATTAATATTTACATGATTGTAATTTCAAAAAAGCAATAAACATGAAGCAATGTATATGAAAATATATCGAGCTCGCATACATCTAAGAAACACTCGTGCGTATTTCTTTGGAGAGATGTGGATTAAGCTGCTGGGGTATTATTGTCTATTTGCTGTGCCTCTTCTGTGTAAGCCCTAAATATTCTTTGTTATCATAACAAACCCCCTATATAGTGCCGAGTGGCTTTAAGTAAATTGCCGTGGGCTGAGACAAACGACGCCTTTTATCAGCTATCTTAATATCTAGACAATTGAACCTGTAAATGTCCCCCGCGGAAGACCGATCATATTAATTTTATTCTTATATGCAAGACATGAAGGGGTCATTTAGATATGGTAGTATTTAGAAGTTTTCCATGCAGTCGAAGTATTATTGCCCCTCACTACAAGGAAGACAATCAAACGGTCTGACGGGTAAGACGGGTTGACATCATATCATAAATCGAGTGTTTGCAAAAAAAGAAGTCTAAAGACAGATTTCCACATTGTTTCCTTGTCCTACTCTACAATTTCATCACAACTACATTTTCTCTAAGCTAAATAGTCGACCGACTTACACGCCCGACCACAGAGAATATCCGTAGGCAATACTACGAGTGATTTATTGCAGCAAGAGGGATTATATACCCTGATCCAGGCCGCGTCTTTTAACATAATGCAATACCTAAAGTAGAGACAAACGTCACCTTAGCGTATATAAAATAGATGAGGTGCAGGAGACAGCGTTACACTGCGCATTCAGCTCTCGCCTGTCTGCTCCTCTCTTGCACCAGTGCCAACACACGGCAAACTCGGTTCCGCTGCCGCTAGCAACCGGCCTATGCCGATCGTATCGATGATAGGTAGCTGACATGGAGTCTCGGTCACGAAGCTGACAAGGCTATATGTATGTTTCTCTCGCAACACAGGCTATCATGTGTGTCTCGTGAGACAGTCCACGCTATTTGCCCGAGCTGTAGAAGGCTTAGTTCTCTGTGTTTTACCTGAGGTATGGTTACGCTGTAGAGTACTGACGCCTCCCCTGGGGTAGGTATTTAGAAAATACAATGGTTTGAGTATGGCCAACTACACTCCCTTCCCGTTGATGTCTTCTCAGCTTTTTCGCTTTGACCTTCCGGTCATATAACAAGCTGCACGTTGCCCATCTCCTGAGTACGGCCCTTGATACGCTCCCCCCACGTAATTTGTTCTGTATTTGTTCTCATGGCGCGGATATCGTTCTACGTCGTCAAAGTACCCGGAGCTTAGGCCACTAGGTAGTTTACAGAGCCGCTAGTTTTAACCCGGCAATATGGGGCATCGGGATGACCTGATCGCGGCTATGGCTGTCTTCTTGGTGGTTGATACTCTTGCTATAGCCGCCCGCCTCTATGTTCGAACGAAGGTACTGACTCGTGGTTTCGGCTTGGACGACGTTGTTCTCATCCTAACATATGTAACTCCACCTACGATGCCTATTTCAGACATGTACGGGCTTTGTACTAATATCATCATGACCCTCAGATCGGCTTTATTATCTCCTGTGCTATGGGCTTTACATCTATGCATTATGGCTACGCTGCTCGGGACGAGCAGCCGTACTACAGCAAGGCCAAATACACAAAGGTAGATGACATATTTTATTATATACTCCATCTCGAGCCAAGTCTTCCTATTCAAATATAACTAGCTCAATGGCTAATACCATTATATCCATATTTAGTTCTTATTCGCTAACCAGCTGACGCTCTACATCAGTGCTGGACTCGTTAAAATAGCTGTGGCACTCGTTCTCTATCGTCTATCGTCGACTAAGAAGTTACGCTGGCTTCTAATAGGGTCGATGGCTATTGTCACTGCCTGGACCATAGTGATGACATTGTTCGCGTCGTGGCCATGTGCCCAAGGTGGCGCGTCCAACTGGGCTGGCAGCAAGGCTTGCACGCAAGTCGGTTACTTCCGTACTATCACTAATATCTTTATCGACTACTTCTATGCGTTGCTGCCGATATACATACTTAGGAAGGTAAAGATGAGCACGAAGTTAAAAGTATCAGTACTGCTATTGTTGGGGTTAGGTGCATTGTATGTTACCCCTTTCCCTTCTCTAGCCCTTATAAGTCAAAATGAGACACAACTAGGCAAAGTACACTAGTAAGCCTATACTCACAATTCTTATAGTGCGAGCTCCGCCACCATTGTCAAACTCGTCATCATCGCCAGGTTATCAACCGCCAAGGGCGAGGAAGCCCAGGCTCTACACTACGACTTACTTCTCTGGGCCGATATCGAACTTGGAATGGCTACATTCGCGGCGTCTGCGGCAGCTCTGCGACCTCTACTAAGGCACATCCCAAATATTTGGAGTAGAAGCCAAACATCAAATAGCCGTACCCGTACTGCAAGCGAGGCAGTTGGTCCCTACCGGGAGCTCGATGCTAGTAACGAGCTGCACCCGGTGAGCAATAACGATACTAAAATAGTAAACGGGAAAGACGCCGAAGAGGATATATTTGTTGTTTGAAGGAGAGGATCTGGTACGGGGTAAAGAAAACGATGCTTATGATACCCATGCTTTTCCGATCTTATTAGGCATAGGATCGGCTTGTATATGACATTAGTCGCCAGCTGAACATGTATTAATATGTATTAATACCACCTACTTATAAATAACCACGATACGGGTGTGTGAGTATGATTACCTTTCAAACCAACTTCTACAGAGCTTTACCAAAGGGAGGAATTCGAGTGTTAACACGATATAGGGATGGGCTCAAGCCTGTTGATACGAGATGGTATATACAAGCAGTTGAATTGACTACGAACTACCTCTAGATCAAATAGTCTCGATATCTTAATATATCAACCGTAACAAATGCCACGAAACTTGATAGTATCATTATCTAAATAAGACCAACCAATGTAATATCTATCAAATAGCTTGAGCTTTATCTCATAATCTAATAGCAACCCAATGGCTATGACCTGAGAAACCAGAACGCCATCTCAGCTCCTTGTTCATTAACAATTAACACCTACTACTAGCACATAGAAACCTCACGCATCATATTCATCTGCCACCAGCAACATCACATAGACTACCTAGGTAGACTTACTAGCGAAAACATCGTCGTCATCGTGAGTACCAACACCAGCAGCAGCACTAGCATTAACATCCGTCTGTCTAGCAGTCGACTGCCCCGTAGGCACTCGCACAGGATGCCGACCAATCCACTTAGCAATTCGGAATATACGCCGGGGTGGCGAATAGATGTGCATATGCGGCACAGACCGCAGAACACGCCGCTCGCGCAAAGCACTCTGCGTCCGCGACGGCGTCACGGGTCGGGATGTAGTGATTTTTCGGTCTGACCGCAGCGGCGACCTATACTTATACGTACTCGGCGCGGACCATGGGCAGTTTCGGTGAATAAAAGCGCAGCGGCGCTGTCTGGTCGACGGGGTTATGACAGGTGATCTCGGAGCGGAGTCGATGTAGTAGTCCATATCGTCGTCGTCAGCACGGCCCCGGATGTTAAGACGCTTGATCCGTAGTCCTAGGGCGTCTACAGTTGGGGAAGAAGCGCGGCTTGTTCTCGAGGGCGTGCGAGGCGAAGGAGAAGAGGCGCGGGATTGGCATGCGATGTGTACGGGGTGTAACGGGGTATTGGAGGATGGGGGATGGTGCTGGGGGAGGTGGAAGTCTATAGACATGGTATCGAGGGCACGAGGACTGGTCGGAGGTGACGTGGAAAGGCCCCGGGGTCTCTTTGGTGCTGTTACGGTTCCTTCTCCTTGCTCCCCTAGACATAAAGTAGACGTCTGAATGGTGAAACCACTATGGCTATGGCAGACTGCTTCAGTCGGTCGCGAGGAGGTTGGTGGGATAGACGTCGAGGTTTGCTGACGCTTTGCTGCCTTCTGAGGTGCCGTTGAGGTGTCCTCAGTTGACTCCTTCGGAGATGTCGCAGGATCTGTGATCTCGCCGGGCTTATTGTCGTCGATGCTTGGTTGAGAAGGAGTAGTAGCGACAGGTGTAGCAGTATCGTCAACCTCTAAGGTCTCTTGGGTTGCGGTAACAACTTTCATCGCGGGCTCATCTTGGAGTTCTGTAGTTAGCCTATTACTGGAGCCTTCCGTTGCCATACTGGGCTGGGGAGCTGTTGTGTTATGGTGATGTTGAGACCTATCAATTGGGCCTGCATCTAGTTCAAGCATGGTGGCCATCTTGACTGCTGGGCTAGGCTGAGAAGTCATGACATATCATGGGCGATTATGTGAGGATGAGCTAGGATATAGTGATAGGAAACTTCTGTAGTTCTTAAGGTTATGTGATGTAAGTAGGATAGACGTTATTTTTGCAGATGTTAAGAGAGACTTCTAAGGACATGATTTAAATAGAGAGATAATTACCTTAGTACTATAGTGCCCTGGAGATGCTCTACGCAACGACGCGTAAAGCTACGGGCTATTTACTGGATATAGGTTGTTGCTATATACGTACCTGGTTGCTGGAATATACTGGTTTGTCCTAGAGATCCACCCTGACAACTTAGGTGATGAATCACTGAGGAATCAAAGCGCCTTTCTTATAGAACTAGGAGTCCATTATGTACCTTTTAACTTAAGCATGCTTAGTTAGACCTTGTCTTCTCATTTTAAGAGTATAGATATATCTTAGGTAGTTGCCTATAGACTGAGGCGGATAGATAATGTCCACAAGGATGGATCCAGCCCAAGTATAGCATATCATTACACTTAACCATTAAAACGTATAGCCTCAATAATCCATTAGGGTAATCATTAACATTATCATCTGTAACTACATCATGGGCTATATGCATGCTGACTGTCCTAGCATCAAAGTAAGTAGGAATCATAAATGATGTTAATGACAAGACACTACAGAATGATACCCACCCAATATTTCAACTCATTTAGTCATAAAAGCCCAAGATCTCTCCAACAACACTCTTGAATATGCCCTTCGGATCGAACTTCTCCCGTACGGCCTTGAATCTCTTGAGGTGATCCGGGTCCAGATTCTGCGTGGCGTTACCAAAAACCTCGCGCGTGTTCTTTGTCCAATGGGGCCTGGCTGGGAATTCATCGATGAGCGTCTTGGCCAATTTAGGGTCTATAATAGTTCTTGTCAGCTATATAAAGTCCCAATTTTAAGATGACGGATAGATGGGGTGCGCATAATTAAAGTTACTCACAGAAATCTTCGTTGAAACGCTTTCCATCGCCGACGGTGGGCTTAAACGACGGGAAATCGAACATGATAGCGCCCTTGGTCCAGTCGGCCCCGTCGGACGTGTTGTACGTGACCTGGCCCAACAAATCATAATAAGGTCTAAATCATTACCTAAATTAGCAGGCGTTTACAAAACTACCTGGTGAAATATACATACTTCCCAAATTTGATGTTAATGCCGCTGCGGTAAGTGCTCGTCATGATAATACCCTTCTTAGCCTCGTCGTCAAATGCTTGTCGTACGCGCTTAAGCATCTTATTAGCCAGTGTGATAGGGAACGCTAACTCAAGAGTAGAGCCGTGCAGGCCATACTCCCACTCAGGTTTCTGATCAGGATAGAGACCTCCAATTAAAACGTCGTAGTTCCAGCCGTAAATGGGCCATTCCGTGATCGTCTTCTGAGTTATCTTGTCGCGAAAGTTGGGGGCGGACCAAAGACCGAAAGCAGTAGTTTCGAAGAACATGTTCGAGGTTGCCAAATACTTCCCGCTCTCTAAAGTGGATTTCGCGACAAAGGCCTCGGTGTCGGTGAGAGAGAAGGTATTCTGGAATCCTTCCTGAGTGCTGAGAGTGAGCGGGACCTTGTCGTAGTATCGCCAATGGAACTTCTTCATGTACGGCCACCACTACGAAGCGTTAGAATAATGTATCATACAACAGGAAAGGGGTATATCGACGTACCCAAAAGTTGGCTGTAGCATAAGGAGCGATCAAACCGTAAATATCGCCATTCAGTACGTCATCTTCATCTAGGCTAATTTCCTCATTAGAATAAGAACGAACGTTATGGAAAGAAGTATAAGGCTTACGTCTCTTGCTTCGCAAAGACCTTGAAGTCCGGGTAGATCTTGAACTTCATGCGAACGATGACTCCCAACAGACCTAATGATGTCGAAGCAGCAAGCCAGTCGTCATTAGTCTCGTCGCGTGCAACTGTTACAATATCTCCGTTTCCATTGACAATATCTAGTGACAGCACGCCAGCCGCGACCATTGAATCCTCTCGGACAGCAGACCGATGTCCGCCCATCGCTACCGCACCGGCCATGGTGATATTCCAATTAACTAATGTATACCCCATGGATGCACTGTTGTTGTGGAGATATTCGGCCAGCTGAAGGAACGTCACACCAGCCTCTATATCCACCGTCCCGGTCTCGGCACCCTCCTCGAGTACTAGATTTGAGATCTTGTTTACGTTTTCCGTGCGGATGATGATCGTGTCTGGGTTATCTGAACACATAGTATTGTACCTTTGCAACATCTTAGATCAGAATCGACTTGCTATGGACTCTCCTAGGAACGTCGAACAAACATAATGACTCCATGGAACATAGAATAGGAATGAAATTGGATAGATTTATTGGATAAAGCATGCCAACAAAGGTGTATCGTAAATATGGACTCTAACTCACCACATATGGCCCTTCCCTGACGCCCTTACAGGTGTTCCATTGGCAGAAGCATTCTTCACTATCTGGACGATGTCATCAACACTAGTGGCATTGTGGATGAGGGCGACATCGTTGCAAGCGGGAAAGCCTTCGCCGTCAAATGTATTATACGGGATAGCCGAGACGCTACCAGCGCCCGCAATGGCGATGATAGAGATGAGGACACGATTAAAAGTCGGCATCTTGGGACAGCCGCGCTATTGTGCCCATATAATCCTTGGTAGAGGCGGGAATAAGCTCGTGCTTAATAACCAAGGGCCAAAGTTCCTAGAAGCCAGGCTGAGGGACTACTCAAGTAGAAAGGCAACCTGAGCAGGTAGCACCTGCGGAAACCCCGAGCTTTGTATTCATCAAGGGAAGCTCCAAAAGGAAGCCCATGACGTTCCTCACTCGACTCTGATTTCCTTGTGATAAACGCAAATTCCATTTCCCTCCAACCCCAGCCTCACCTCCAAGTTTCTTCATCCTCACCCTCGTGCGTACTGGGGTTCCCCAGTCTAGAATTTTCGAAGTCCACATATTAGATCAAAGAAAGAGCCTCGCATCACCTACGCACGACAGTGCTACACCTGTTCCCTCGCTGGTGGTATGCCTCGGATGTGACGTGCATACCGGCAGTAGCAAGAGCGCCCGTGATGCGATCGACACGGACGCCGCGCTAGACACGGGGCACTTACCTAGCACGGCGTTCGAGCGACGAGATTTTGGCGAGATATCTAGCGACGACACTAGGGGTTCCTCTGTCAGCAATGAGCGTGTTGGTCTGGTTGGGCGAACAGAAGGGTTAGACAACCCTAAAACGGTTCCCTGGGTTATAGCAGACAGGGCCGTCCTGCAGCGATGTAACACCCCGCCAATTACGGCGAGCGGTGACATAACAAATTGTAATCGCAGGGGGTACCGTCTGGGGTAGTATTTGCATTCCGCCTTATGTCGATCATCAGGAGACGACGCATGGAGATGTATGGGCGTGAAAAGACGCTGGCTGAGTGCGTTGTTGCACGAAGACATACATATTGCGCGGAAGTGCATCCAGTGGTAGCACCCTAAAAAGCAGGACGAAAATGCATTATAGACAATGCTACATTGAGCATACGAAAGAGCGCAAACAGCTCAGATATGTTTTGTGGTTTTAGCTTGTGATAATGCCTATGTATGGCATCGAATCCTGTCCCGATAGATTGATAGAATGGTAGGAATGGTGAATACCTTTAGTCGGGGTGAGTTTAGGTTGAGGAGATACGCTAATGACTGGGGAACCTGGTAACTTAGGTAGTCTAATCTCAAAGAAGAAACCATAGCATCGGATTAAAAGATGAGGACTAACAAAACATCAATCCCTGAACGCCGTAATAAGGGGTTGCTCTGCTATATAGTAATAGATATGACACAGGGGGCTAGGGTTGAGGATTGACCTGCCGAGCAAGGTAAACGAGTACTCACATAAAATACCGAGGATACTACTCCTAGTTATCATTATATATGTCGGCGGCGAGTGGGATTAATAAGAAGTAGAGTCGATGGCCATCTTACCTCATGGGGCTGTCAATAACGGCTGCGACTTGTATTCCAGATTGTTTAGACCCCTGATAGGAACGATACCGTAGTCTCGTACGATCGAAAGGAGAAATGTTGAATGTAAAATCTTTTCATAGAATATGGGTATCGCTATGGACGGTATTTTTGCTGGACCTATATTAACTCCCACCTTGCAAGCCAACCGACATTCTGACCTGCGTTCCTGACAATGCAGAGCCTTGCGGCAGTATCCTTCTGATTCTTATATCGTCGCAGCTCCTCGAGAGCCTTCGTAGATGACAAGCTACCTATAGCGTCGCCTATTCCGTCCCTAAGGTTAAAACTTCCAGTTGTTACGAACCCAATCAAATCTTCTTCATTGGGACATAGTGGATGGCCGTTGATGCTCTCAAAGTTGGGAGCTGGCGGCGGGAATGTCGCTGGAGGGCCGATGAGTTGCTGAGCGAGCAGTTGCTGCCGCGTCTCTAAATCCAAATCTGCCTTGGTGATGACTTTCTTGGGCTTGTTATTTCCGGGTGGCTTTTGCGCTAACCATTGGTTACGTATGTTGAGCGGTAGTCTGCCCTCAGCCTTAGTATGAGGAGGGTCGGTAGCTGGTACTTCGGCCTGCGAAGAGACAGCTGTTGGCTTTACATCAGGTAGTCGATAGATCCTGGCACACGTGGTGGCTACCCCACGCGCCAACATCTTAACGTTCGCCGTTACTAATGATTTTGGAGGAGGAAGCTCAGATGTTGATGATTGGTAAGTAACAAAGGCAGACTTTGAAAGTTGCGTGACACTTTTTAAGGGATTTACGAGTGCTGCTTGGTTCTCATCTTGAGAACTTGCTTCTGGCTCTTCTGCTCCATCTTTTCCATCTACCACCATCTCATCAGGGTCATCCACCTTGTCACCCGCCCCCTTGAGATCTAGAAGTAATTCGTAGTCGCAATTCCACCCTACTCCAACTTCGCCTTTCCGCCCTGCTCCTAGGTCAAGTGATTCCCAGTTGACCCTCTTTCCTTTGGGCATGCGGTCCCATGCTTTGTGTCTCTCTTTTCGTTCTTCTAATTCCCAAGCTTTACCTGCCTCCGTGCCGGACAAGTCACCAGGGAACCAAGGAAGGCCTCTCTCGAACGTAACATGTCTAATCTCGTCCAAACCTCCAAACCAAGGGTTGCCACCAGTCGACAAGGGGTAATGCATCAGGCTGTACCATATCGGAAGAACGCATTTGTATGGTAGCATTAACGTCCAAGTACCGGATGATTGTGAACCTACGGAATGACGGGTAGCAAGTAATATTGTAGGGATAGGGGGATCAACCATGGTTGGCTCGAGTACGGTTCCTGGTGCGTTATTGCCTCGTCGACGATTTAGGGACCGCTGAGATGGAAGTCTCGATGCCTTGAATCGAGTATCCCTATCGAACAGCTGATGGGGCTTGGTAGCATCGTCTTTGGGGAGCGCCGATATGGCGTCTAGAAGTGCCAATTGTGCGTTCTGGTCGTTCCCTGGAAGAGCTACCTGTCGTGGAGGGTAACGAAGACGAGGGTCTACGATTGAGAAAGCTAGGAGAGATCCAAGGGGTAAAGCACCGGGATCTTTCAACCCGACGAGCGACTCGAACTTTAAAGCGTGCGATTCTTTTGAATTAGATTTTTGTAAGTATGGCCGAAGCACCCCGAGCAGAGCTTCAGTCGAGTCGGGGCCTATGATATCAATGCTCCCGATTTCAAATCTAAGGTCTTCTATATAAGGCCGGGGGTTCTGCATCTTTGCGAGTCGTAGTAGCTCGTTGAAAGTCTCTAAGAATGCAGATGGGTGAACACGGATGAAAAGTTGTCTAAATTGTTTACGTTGCTCTTCGCCTTCAACTTGCTTTTCTGGATTCCAGATTATAGTCGCTGGACCTATAACGTGTATGCCGTCTGGGCTTTTCCTGGTTAACATTCCGGACCAGTGCATATTACCTGACCTCCAGCGCCTTGCCTTGTCGTTCCACAGTGCTTCCTGCGTAAGACCCAACGACTTGAGAACATTCTGGACGCTATTTCGAGGTCCAGATAAGCCAATCGTGCTCATATAGCTCATATCCCAAGCCATTGCACCCTTTTCCCATTGAATGCGGTGAGTTGGTCGGTAGACTTTTTGTGATGGGGTAAGGGGGATTGCAAACCTCCACAGGGGTTGTGCAGGAGGTGTCATCCTCGCTCGCTTTGCGTGCCATAAGTGAGTAGGAAGCCAGGTTTTTGAGAGCTGGCGCTTCCTAAATTTTCTAGCGGCAATAATAGGTTCGTTGAGCGCATTTCTTTTTATTTTAGGTCTAGCAGCCCTTATTGAGATGGTTTCATCATCAGCGCCAGAACTCTTTAGTTTTCGCAGCTTCTTTCGTCTTGAGAGAAGATCTAACTTCCGGGAAATCTCAGCTCGTAACCTCGCTCTGGTGGTCTTTGGCTTTCTAGTCTTAGAGCTGACTGTTGGTGTATTATCCTCTACCATCTCTCTCTTGGCCCTCTTCCGTAGTCGTTTCGGTACTTTCTTATAGTTATGGGCTGCAGCCCTACGTCTCATCCTGAAGGGCACACGCTGAAATGCTCGGCTGGTTTGAGACGTCCTCGTACGTCTCATACTCTCATCTAAAGCATTGATCTCGAAGGAAAGAGAGCCGACGAAGGACTGAACGTTGAGCTCACCATCATTCAAGGCAGCATGAGATTTCTGAGCGGCAATGCTCCTAACCTCATGGGTCTTTGCACGCTTTGTATCTCGGGTCTTATGATCAGAGCCCTTCCCTTGATTCTTGAATCCTGCATCATGCTGCGGAGGGTCCTTTCTCTTATTAGACTTTGGCTGGTCTGAATTTTTAGAGGTCTCGGGACCTGACTTCGACTTCGGCTTATTCACTGAAGCCGCTTTACTACCCGAATCCCCGGGAGGCTTGGCCTTTGACGCCTGCTTCGGAGGCATCTTGTCTGATTAGATACTATGTGTAAGCCATATGAGTCAACACGCAAAGGGGGCAGTATATTTGATTTGACGGTAGTTCAAGAGGAAGCGAATACGCTTCCAAAGTAGGATAGGATAGATAAGCCCTTGCTACCTGCTATGGAGCTAAGGTTGAACCAACGCAAAAGACTTTATAAAAACACACGTATTCAAAATCTTTCACTATCACATTAGGTAGTGCATGATGATATGCATCAAGGGTTGGATACCGCGTATTGCTAAACGCGTATTATGCTTCGCGTGGACATGTGCTTCAAAATTTTAGTATTAAATTTTAGAAGGGTTCTTAGTGGGTCTGGTAGGTATCGGGCGCAGCTGACATTTTGTTCTAGCATTTTGTTCTAGCTTATAAAATACGCGTACGAGACAGCTGGGGCTACTAGGTAGGCTCCGCTATATTTAAGGTTAAGGAACGGTACGTCTTAGAGTACTTGCAGTTCTATACCAATATTGTATTTGGTACTAGTAGATTGGGACTGCCATGGCTTCAGTCCGGCTAACTTAAACACAAATAATGACGTCTACAAGTCTTAGGTACATGATACTAAGTACCTTGCTCTTAACGTCCGAGCTGAATTCGACAAGGTCCGGAACATTTCCCGTTTCCACAGCCATCATTAGACCAACTTCAACCAACGAGCATTGCTTTTATTCGTTTTTTCTCGTTTTCCTTGATCTCGACGTCGCCCTATCTTTGTGGCTGATTCTAGTACTAAGAGCTAGGGGTAACGTAACCCCCCCCCCTAAGTCAATCTAATTCAATTCCCTCCCTACCTAACCAGGCTTACCTTATCTCGAATTCGTCTTGCCTCGTTTATACGATTCCAATAGAAACCCAGCAGAACCTGTTCGCTTTTCGGAGTCCGATACAGCCGAAACTACAGTTCTAGCCGCTATCTAGTACCTAACCGGGCTACCAAAACCGGGCTACATTGATGTTTCGCTCCGAATCATGACTGCATGTTACCAGCACACCACCTACGCCATTCGCATTTGCTACTAGTTAGCATGTGCAGCAATTCCGCTGCTGGGGTGAATGCGTCTTTATTAAGACTATGTCGTCCTTAAGTATGTAAGCCTGTAAACCCCTAGCCGCCGCCACCGCTGCCGCCGCCTTCTTTCTTCCCCTTCACGCTTTTGTCACACAGTTTCTTTGAGCCGCATTCCTGTATTCTCTCTAATATTATCGGTTGCCTCTCATTCATCCAATAAGCGAAGATGTAACTCTGCCTACATTCGGCAACTTGTCATTGTCGTTATTAGTACATTTGTGTTTTCTCCTTCATACTACTACTATCCCTTGTCTTCCTTCTATTTTGCTTCACTAGGAGAATTATCATAATAATGTCTCTTACTTTGACTGCGACACCCATTGCTATGCGCCAAATTCGTATTTTTCTCAAGCTAACATGCGTATTCTTCCAATAGTTAATAAGGCCCGGAAGGTATATAATACATATATATTACTATTTACTTCGCCCTGACTTATATTTCACCGTGCTAATGCATATCTCTGTTCCTCTTTTAGCCGAAATTCGAGCTTCACCTTACTATCTACGATTTAAATAATGTACCATTGGTTGCCGGCACCTCTACGATAAAATGGTACCTTCCAAACTCGATACATGGCGAGCACCGCGGCCGTACGGCCAAGTGCTCCATCGACAAGATCAATCATCGCGTTGTATATAACTATTCTAAGATTATACCCTTGCGCATCTCAATCGATCGCAATAACAACCTTTCCGAGTGCCCTATCGAATTCGAGGTGCTGCAGGAGTTTCCCATGATCCCCGGCGGTCGCGACGAGAAGATTCCCCTTGGCATTGTCAAGTTGAACCTAAGCGAATATGTCGAAGAAAGCGAAAACTTTCCTCGCCGGAGTATAGGTGCGCGGGCCAGCGCAAGCCTGGATCATGCACGAGAGAAGATCGGACAGGGCATGTCGCACCGACGACAAAGCAGTAGCAAATCGGGCGGTAGTCTTCCACCTGGTGTCATAGGAGGGACTAGTCCTACAAGTACAACAGCGCCGCCATTACCACACCCAGAAGAAAATGACGTGGTGGACGATGAGGCTGAGGAGGGTATCGTCCGGCGATACTTAATGCAGGAGAGCAAGATTAACAGCACACTTAAAATTGGCATCTTAATGATTCAGATTGACGGCGAGCGTAACTACGTCGCGCCTCCCCTCAAGACGGCACCTATGTTCGGCGGCATAGCCGGCATTATGACAGGTAGCGAGCAGGTCCCGGTCGAGGCACCCGAAGACGGTTCTACGCCCCCCAGCACTAAAACAAACTCCGGCTCCCTCGGCAAGTCCCGAGATGCCTCGGAGCTGCAGGACATGTATCGCCGCGCGCTAGCAGCAAGTTGGGCTTGTCAACCCGGCGAGCTACCGGCCGACGAGTGCATCGAGGACATCTTCTCGGGCGGCGATGGGTGGAGCGCTACTACGCGCCCCGGTTCTAAGCCCCCTATCCGCCGCAGCCGCCTCTCGCATTCTGGATCTGTCGCCAGCAGTACCAGTAATAACAGCGGCAACGTAAGTGACGACGAAGGCGTTGGTGGTAATACACTACGGCCTGCCGATATCCGCCGTATGCGCCAACACCATCTGCGTACGCACAGCGGTGGTAGCGATCACAGCTCTCCAACGCTGACGGGCGGGCTGCGCAGCAGCAGTACTAATGGTCGCCAGGAAGGTGGACGACATCCTCGGTACCGGGGACCCGGGAAGCCACTTAAAGAAGACGGCGGCGTAGACGGAGCATCGGATGGCGTACGCAGCCGCAGCGGGAGCTTAACAAGTCTAGCGCCAACGCTAGGCAGTGACCGTGGACGCGAGGGGTTCAGACGGCCGAAAGAAGTAGATGAGTACGAGGAGCGCGAGGACCTAGTCGCTTGGACGTTACCCGAGACCGTGGTATAAGGTTAAAGCTTGTGCGTGTGTTGGGGTATAGCGTAGCGTGGCATGGATAGGTAGCGTATCATCTTCGTGGGACATAGCGTACGGTTGTTTTTTATATCCAGGTATTGGAACTAAACTAACTAATTTACTTCACACACATACGTAAAATCTTGGTTGAGATGGGATAGACATACTTCATAATCTAGAAGTGGGCATTGTATATGTGAAGGACAGATTGGATGGGATGGGATTGGCGTTATGCATATATAATAGGTTGATACAAACCGGCTGCACATAGATTGGGTACCTAGGTAGATTAGATTAATGGACGGAGAATACAACTACCTCTTAAATTAGATCACATCACTCTACGAAACCAGGAATTAACCTGCACGACGAGAAACGAGATGTACAAAGTCATAGCATGCATAAACATCATAACTAGTTAAAATGCGTATATGCATCACGTCTACTCTATTCCCATGCTTAGCCCATGCTTATTCTGCCTGAGAGGGTAGAACAAGATTCCGCCCAAGTTAGTTCCATCTATCGAATAGTGCCTACCGAGCGTCGCAATGCCTCCCTCCCTTTTAACTAGACCGACGCCAATAAGCGAAGAGCAGTAAGTAACATTACCTATCTAGGTAGGTAAGATAGATAGGTGAACTATCTTACGGGGCTGCAAGAGTTCCCCTGACGCCACCCTTTCCGCCGACAGCTCTCGTCGTGATGGTGACTGCGAGGTCGGGCGCGACGTTGATCGTGACCTCGACCTTGCCTCCCTTCTTGACATCCCGAATGGCGGCCTCGGCGAGGGTAGTGCCGATCTTCCATATCTTCTCCCTGTGCTCCTCTTCCTCTTCGTCGGAGTCGAAGTCACTGTCGTCTTCATCCTCGTCATCTTCCTTGCTGCCGTTCTCCTTTGGCTTCGGCTCCGGCTTCGTCACCTTGATGTGAGTGCCGCCTTCAGCCACCTTCACCAGCACGTCACCTCCATTTGCGGGGGCTGCGACGTGGATTGTTCGGCGAGCCGGTGCAGCAGTCTCGGGTGCGATGATTGGTGTGAAAATCTCCTCGCCATCGTCGGATAATGAGATAACACCAATCGCATTGGTAATATGCTTGACAGTTGTAACAGCAGGGTGCGTTGACTGCTCAATGTCCTCCGCCTCATATTCTTGGATCAAAGAGGCCTGGAGAGCAGCACCACGAGCTTGGAGCTCCGAGGGGTTAATGGCGGTTGCGCTCGTTGCGGGGGCCTGGATAGTAGTGGTCTCTGGGAATATCGCGCGGAAGTTGTTTGCGATTCTGGGAGTGTGGGATGTGCCACCAGAGAGAATAACCTCGTCAATATCGAGGACGTCCAATCCAGCCTTCTTTATAACGCCGTCAACAAGGCGGTTGAAGCCTTCGAAAACTTTACGAGCAATTGTCTCATATCTCAGTCTGTTAATAGTAGTCTGGAAGTCAATACCGTCCGCCAAGCTTTCGACACTGAAACTGGCGTTGGTACCAATGCTAAGAGCCTTCTTGGTAGCTTCGGATTCGGCCTTAAGCTTCGCTAAGCTTCTAGCGTTTCCTCGAGGGTCGACATTGGGGTTTTTCTTCATGAACTCTTTGGCAAAGTGTTCCATAAGAACATTGTCTAGATGAACCCCAGCAAACTCATAGTCGTGAGCCGTTGCGAGGATTGTATACAGTCCACCTCTCGAAGCTACCACAGCAACATCTGAGCGTGTACCACCAAGATCGACCACCACGATTATTTTATCTTCCAACTTAGCCTCCGGCCTTGCGTCATAGGCAAGAGCTGAAGCGATAGGCTCGTTAATTAATTGGAGAACCTCAAGCTCAGCATCGTTTGCGGCCTGAATTAGGGCTTCTCTCTGGGGCTCTGTGAAGTTTGTAGGTACCGATATTACGGCAGAAGTAACCTTCCTTCCTAAGTAGTCCGAAGCAGATTGTAGAAGACGACGCAGGTATCGGGTAGAGGCTTCCTTCACGGAAATGGTAGAAGGCGATTCTCCCTCGACCTTGTCTTGAATGGTAAAAGAAACTGTTCCGTTCGCTTCCTTGGGGTGAGATGCGGCGTGACAGTGAGTAGGGTCAATGGACTTGAATCTGTTCCGAAGGTAAGTTACTTATTCGTCCATTTAGTATAAATGGAGGACTAACTCTTGACCAAGGAAATCCTTGAATGATATAACTGTGTTCTGGGGGTTCCGGATTAACAGGGCCTTAGCCTGATTTCCAGTGTACTCTTCTCCATCGACATATGATAGGATGGTGGGAATCTGTCGGTCTATATTATAGGATTAATTAGCGAAGTGTCGCAAATATAAAGGCGTGTTACCAACCTCCATCTTCGTTCGCAATAACAATAGGACTGTCATCAGTTGTGGAAGCAATAGAGCTGTACGAATTGCCAAAGGATATACCAATGGCGCATCGATCACTTGGCGAAACGCCAAGTTGGCCAGCTCCCTTCTCAGTCATGGATGCGATCTTCTTAAATTTTTAAAAAATAGCCAGGTTCGTAAGGAACAATTTAAAGTCGGGGCCAAATAATTCAAGAGTGTTGGAGATAGTAGTGTTCGCTGGTGGGGTGTGAGATTTTGGATTTCGGCGCCTTGCCAAAATTTTGTTCTTTAAAGCCAAGAAAAAAAAAAATGTAGTTCCTCGATGCAGCACATCCCTGCCCACTGTACACCCCCACATCTCAATTCCCGATTCCGCATAGCGGATTAAACCTAGCCACAATAACCCCTCCAAAGCTTTTTAACAGCCACAAGTAAAGCCAAAAGCAACTAAGGTTCACTCGAGTTTATTAGGTTCACTATATTTTCGTAGCTCAGCCACAAATTTTTTGAAGCTGCATCTCATAGAACATCAACAATACAACTTAAAATGGCAACTGCACAAAGTGAGAGAGTATTTGTCCTCCCCGGGGACCAGATAAATCCTTCATTGATTCCATCGCATCCAAAACGAGCTTTACGACTCGGTCCTGGACTTCGACATATCCCTCCGAATGAGTTGATACCTACAGTCGCTGGCCAACTCGTCACTGATCCTAGGAAGAATTCGATATGGGTTGAATACAACGGAGGGCGAGTAAGTCATCAGTTTACCTACATACAAGATCATTGATTGATAATTCCTATAGTACGTACCAACGGTCGGTGACCTAGTCATCGGTACCATGCATCATTCAGCAGCTGACTACTTTTACGTCATGCTGTCCAACTATACTTCCAATGCTATACTACCACAATTAGCATTTGAGATGGCCACGAAGAAGACGCGGCCCAACTTGAACCCCGGTGCTCTAGTCTACGCGAGAGTCTGCCTTGCCAATAGACACATGGATCCTGAGCTCGAATGCGTCTCGCCAAGCACAGGAAAGGCAGACGGCTTGGGTCCTTTAAACGGCGGCATGCTATTTGATATATCATTAGGAATGGCTCGACGGCTTCTAATGCGTAAATCCGCCGAAGAGGGCAAGGTAGTTGTCTTAGAGGAGCTAGGGTCCGCGGGTCTTGCTTTCGAGACAGCGGTCGGTAGGAACGGGAAGATATGGGTCAACAGTGAGAAGACGAAGACTGTGCTGATGGTTGGAAGAGCAGTAAAGGAGACAGATGAAAAGAGCCTTACTATTGACCAGCAGAAGAAGTTAGTACGAAAGCTGGTTAAGGAGATGAGTTAGGTCGGATCCAAAAACTACTCTGGTGTAGGTTAAGGCTGTTTTCTCCATACTTCAATGATACCCCAGTACTTTTCGGTCAGATTCCGCATTTTGTTTTTATACTTCAGTCTTTTTAATTTTATGCTATTGTGGTATGAGTGGTGATATCTTCTATACATTTATTACTATCTATGTTTTGTATACGCTGGTATTTTTAATCTTTTTTATCTAAGGGAATGGCTCAGAACGGTTCACGTATGACAATAAAGAAATATATGAAAACATAAACATTAATTTATAGGTATATATAAAGGCGCTATCCAGAGCATTTTCGAAGCGAAAATAGCTAATCTCGTGCTACAAGAGTAGCCATAAAACCATAACTTTCCCATATTTAGCCCATTACTGAATATCGATCTATCTTCCTTTTTGTTTTTATCTTACTCTGTTTCCATATCAAGGAAATAAATTAAGATGGGATGCATAAGTCAAGAAAGAGGAATCAACGAGTACGCCTATAACTCACCGTAAGAACGCCATAGACCGCCATAGAACGCCGAACCGTATACGCCGGCTAAAGTTTAGCAAGCCATGAAACATTGTGACCTTACCCTGCCTGCCCCTACCTTTTTGTTAATCAGTGTGCGACAGTCAAATCCATTGCATTTGCAACTTACCTTTAAATTGCTGCCTCTCGAAGCAGGTAACACATACCTTATCGTTGGAATCTTGATATTTGCAAAAGCAGGATTGTACAGCGCAAGAAAAGGCAGGGGAGGGTGTATTTATAGAAACAAGCATGGTGGACTGATCGTCATTATCCCCATCCTGATTTTTCTCTTCAATATAGGTAGTTGACGGTACACCACGTTCATGGTAGAATGCCGCGCTATCTAGTGCACGTACGCCGGAAGTTCGCTTTGGCGGGACTGGAGTTGAGCGTTAGCGGCTCGTTCACGTTTTGATCATCGAAAAGGGCGACAATGTAGGAGGGCTCATGTAAGAAAATTGTCAAAATTACTTACCTGAGACCACGTCCAACAATGTGCCTGTTTCAACCGTGAGTGAGTCTACCGAGGGTGAAGCCCGTACAAATGTAGCGGGGGCAGTGTGAATCCGGGGAATGAGTTCAATTTTCGATGCGTCAGCAAAATTGACACTTTTGACTATTCTCTCTTCGCCAGCAATACCAGCAGCGGGTGCGGGGGTGTCCTTACGCCAGGTGGGAATTTTTGGTGCTCGTTGAAGTTTGGGAAAAGTAGGTAGACTAGATATGGTTTCATTTTCCTGGTCAGAATGACTTTGAATATTGAGCTCTTCAGCCTGTTCAGTTATTCGTCGGACAAGGGAGCAGTCAGATCGCTTTAACGGAAGGTCACATGGCTTTGTTTTCGGACGAATTGGTTTTGGTTGAACCGGTGGCCCACTAGGTGGTCTACCGCGAGCGCTGGGAGGATAATCAAAGTCGTCACTGACTAGGTCGGAAAGATCGATAGGGGTGTCAGTCACGTATGCGCTGACCGGGTATCCAGTCCCTATCTTCGATACAAACGGGCCAGTCTCAGCAGATATAAGGTAAGAATACTCGCTTGGGACGGCAAGATGTTTACGATTTACGGAATTCCTTCTCGAAGAGAAGGAATCTGGATGGACTTGTTGCGCTTTGGGGTGCTTATGACGTTGATCATGATGTCTACTTCGGTGGACCAAAGGCGGTGGCGGTCGAAGTCCAACTGGAGAGTTGTTCGGAGTTCGCGGGACCTGTAACGATCGCCTTCTGGTAGTTTCAGCTTCTGCAGTATTCTCAGATTCTCTAGTATGTTTGGCATGTTTGGCATGTCTGGCTTCTCTAGAATGTCTAGCTTCCCTTGAATGTCTAGCTTCCCTTGAATGTCTAGCTTCCCTAGAATGTCTAGCTTCCGTAACATTTTTGGCTTGCGTGGCACCTTCAGCTAGTTTTTGGAGAGCCGTCTTGGAGACGGTATATGCGTCACGATGAACAGTTCTAGGATCGATCGTTTGATTATAAAGGCCGTTATTGAACTTATACTCGAGGAATTTCTGGCTTACATGAATAGCGGCTTTCTTGCCAAATTCTTCAGCGAAGAAATCGAGACAGTCATGACATACTCGCTGTAATAATTGTGTACTGCGCACCGGGTCGCAGCTTGAAAGTACATGACCCAGGCAGAAATAACTCCGGATGAGGTTATATCGCCAACATCTATAAAATTCTTGCTCCTTGTGGCGGCAAGCGTAGCGGAGCGTGAGGCGTTTACAGTCGCACGGCATGATGAATCTCGTTGCTTACCTAGATACGTAGAAGCGTAATAAAGAGCGTACTATTACTACACTGCTAAATATCTAGGAAGAATTGGAGGCTGAATGTTCTACCCAGGAGATTGTTGTTTCTGCCGTGTCTTTTATAGAGAGAACATGGTGGAAACGACGGTAAACGATGATTCGAGAGGACATTTATAGGTGAATTAGAGTAATTTGGAGTTTTTGTTCTAGGATATTATTACCTACATTGTTCTAAAACAAGAGGAAAAAATGAAGGACTTATTTATAAAGAGATTGTTATCTTGAAAATTCCATAGCAACCTTGTTTAAAGACAAAGGGACTAAACCATCACGGCGTAAACCAGTCTATTGTCTTCGACTCGATAGGTGTCTCTTGGGATAGAAATCAACAAGACAAAGCCCTGGATAGTTGTTCTGTACATGTTAATTGAATTTGGATATCATCTTATTCCGAGGTTGTCTTACTAGTAGCCCTAAGTCTTTACTTTGCTTCAACGTCTAAGATAGTTAGTTAAGAGAGTTGAAATTATAGTGTGCTACTGACCAAGGCCACATCTATGTTCGCATTGAGAGAGGCAGTGTAGATTATGAGGCTAAGTTCTTACTCATAACGAGATTGTTCCGATTTGTCATAAGTGAGAATTAAAGATTTTTAAGGTGGCCGGTTGAGTCACCACCGATCCATTATATACCTACCTAAAGTACCTATAGTAGTACATGGCTATATCTTATCTTATGTAAATATTTAATTACCTAACATTATATTCAAAGAAGCTACCCCGCCAAAGCTATCCTAAACAAACCGTCCTCCCATCTCAACCCACCTTTCGTCATAACGATCTGGAATAACGTCTCCATTCTTTTCTAAGTCCTATCTCTTTTCAAGCCGCAATTCCGTCATATACAAGCAAAATAACATTTCGGGTTGGCGACGCAAGAAATGGATCAGAAAGCAGACGATATTCTGCGACGACCCCTCTATGGTGAATTCCCATTTTAGCCCCCAATCGTCGCAAAAAGCTATAGTACATTTTTTTAACCATCTCACCAATAGTTTATAACCTACCCGACCAAGTCCTCAACAGCATCTCCTTAAAACAAGACGCCGCCATCGACAGCCAGGATACGATCAACAAATTGACCGAATCTGCGACGCAATCACAAACACAAGATGCGACGTCTGGAAACCCGTCGCCCGTAGTAGGCTCACAGTCATGCTCGCTATGCGCCCTCTCGTTTGGCACCGTACAAGACCAGCGCGGCCACTTAAAGTCTGACCTGCACCACTACAACCTAAAGCAGAAACTGCGGGGGAAAAGCCCCGTCTCCGAAGTCGAATTTGAGAAGCTGATTGCGGATCTCGACGAGAGTCTTTCAGGCTCAGATTCGTCGGACTCTGATGACGAAGACGAGGAAAACGGCGATAAGGAGAGCAACCTTCTAACAACTCTCTTGAAGAAGCAAGCTACACTTTCGGGAGGAAACTACAACAATGTTACAGGCGACGACCAAGGAGATGACGGAGATGGGAATCCAAAAAAGAAACAAAGGGGCGGGGGCGCGCAGCCTCTACTATGGTTTAGCTCCCCTCTCCTACCTCAGAATACCTATTTCGGCATCTACCGTGCTATATTCGCGCTGGCAGAATCCAAGGATGAAAATACAATAGTCGAGACGATCAAGAAAAAGCAACTCGAACCAATACCCGTGCCCAAAGCGAGACCGGACGGCAACCTTGCGCCCTCCGTCTATAAAGGACCGCACATCTTCCTCTGCATGATTGGCGGCGGACATTTCGCAGCCATGGTAGTATCACTGGCGCCGCGACAAACGAAGCACGGGTCCGTGGGTCCTTTGAATAGAGAAGCGACAGTATTGGCGCATAAAACATTTCACAGATATACTACGAGGAGGAAACAAGGTGGTTCGCAATCAGCAAACGACAATGCGAAGGGCAATGCTCATTCAGCCGGTTCAAGTATCCGTCGGTATAACGAGCAAGCCCTAACAGACGAAGTCCGATTGCTTCTGCAAGACTGGAAGGGCCTTCTTGACACGGCAGAGTTATTATTCATACGGGCGACGGGATCTACAAACCGTAGAACGCTCTTCGGTCCCTACGAAGATCAAGTCCTACGAGCCAACGATCCGCGTATACGGGGCTTCCCATTTAGCACACGAAGGGCAACTCAAAACGAGTTGATGCGATCTTTCATCGAGCTGACGCGGTTAAAAGTCCGCGAAATCGATCCAACTCAGGTTTCAAAGGCGCAGGAAGAACCGTCCGTGAAGACGACTTCTAAACCAACGAAGCCGACTGCGCCTAAGTTAACAGAAGAGGAAGAAACTGCACTATTACACACGTCACAGCTACAAGCTTTCATACGAAGATCGAAACTGCCCGCTCTACTATCATACCTGAAGAGCAACGACATATCCGCCAATTTCTTCTTTCAGCCAGCAGACTCGACCCAAAACTACCACGCACCAACTCCTCTACACCTTGCAGCGAACCAGAACTCAGCTCCCCTCATACTAGGACTACTAGTAAAAGGAGCCGCGGATCCCACAATCAAGAACGACGAAGGCAAGACTGCCTTCGAGTTAGCCGGCGATCGATCAACAAGGGACGCCTTCAGGGTAGCGCGCGACGAGCTCGGCGAGTCAAAGTGGGATTGGGAAGCCGCGCGAGTGCCGCCTGCTATGAAGAAAGAAGA